CGTCGATGTCAAAGAAGTCGGCGCCGTCGCTGACGGAGGCGTTGTCGTGATCGAAAGAAAGCGAGGACCTCATGCCTGCAAACAAAGGATTGGACGAACTCCCCTTCAGAGATCGTCGGCACAGCCTCGGTGACCCCGCAACACTTACGGTCGCGGCCTCCCCATTGGCTGCCAGAGTCACCTTGGGATCACAAAATCGGAGGGCGTCATAGGAGCCATCCTTCGAGACGTCGCCCTCCCTGCCGGCCGCCTCGGACTCATACTCCTGGCTTACTTGCCCTTCCCGGTGGCCTTGTCCTTCAGGATCGCGAGACGAGTCTCCAGCTCCGCAATCTCTGCCACCGTCTTCGGGTCGATGTCGGCCTCCATCTCCTTCTCTCGACCGTGTCGTGGTGGGCACGGCGCCGGGTCCTCGAGCCCTTGTCGCTCACGACTCCCCATTCTGATGATCTTGCTGTAGCGCTCGAGGTCGGGCTCGCGCTCCTCAGGGACCTGGCCCTATAGATGACGGGTCTGCATCCGCCCTCGAAGACCCCGCTCGGGTACGGTGAGGTTGTTGCGTCCGCCGTGTACCCCTCAGCTATCTTCTGCTTGCGGAAGCGGTACCAGTTCCTCAGGCGGACAAGCTCCGGGTCGGGACTGGTCGCAGTGGCCAGCTCTCTCATCACCCACTCGCAGTAGCTTTCTGGGATCTCCACAAACTGAAATCCACGAAATTTCCCTATCTTCATGAGTTCTTGATCTGGGGTGTTGAGGCTGTCCCGTATCAGACGCATGAGGTTGCCTTTGGTGGTTCCCGTCGGGTAGTCGATGCCCAGGCTGTCCGCCTTGGCCTGCAACTGGGCCAACGTCATGTGCGTCAGGTCTCTCTCTTTCAGGCCCTCCCTGTGTTCCATGATCACCGCCTTGAGCTCCTCCACCGCCCAGGTCCGGTGAACCACCAGACCCAACCTGGTGGCCTCGCTCAAGAGCTCTGTCTTGGTCATCTGGCTGATCGTCCGGGCTCGCGGCGGGCATGGTCCTTGCTCCATGACCAGGAGCGCAAAGGAGGTCGTGAGGGCTATAGCGCTTGCTAATCCAAGTCCTTCCAGCCCAAAGAAAACCGAACGCATGCTCATTGAGGTTTCCATTCTCCCAGCGATCAACCACTGGCTCAATCCACCTACTCGTTGCACAGCAAATGCCCTCAGTGATCCTAACCTCGCCTGCGGTCTGAAGCAACATCTCTTTCTGGAGGGTAGCTCGGGTTCGCCACATCGAGGGATTGAAGAGGACCTTTCTGGGGGTCATATGCACTGTTATCCAGGCCTCGGGGGACTCTAACCAAAAGTCTGACGTGGCCCCGGTACTTTTCCACCATGCTAGGAAAGCTTCTTGATGAAGATGCTCTTGACATAGCATATCTCGTGCCCCAGGATCTAGCTTCTTGTCATAGAAGATGTTGAAAGTAGTGGGGGTCTTGAAGCTACCATGCGCTACAGCGTACACAGTATATTGCTCACGCGGCGAAAGTCGCAAATCCTCGGCTTGGAGCCCGCCTGAGACATCTCCTGCGACCTTGGCAGGGACTATAGGAATGGCAGGGTGGCCGGAAGTTGTCACCTGCAGCTCAAGGCCCTGTAGCCCTACTTTCGTGAAGTCAGCCCGGCCAAGTTCCACGTTGTAGATCATGCCAAGCTTGCTGAGCACGCCCTTCGACAGAAGGAGCGGGACGTCCCCGTTGATGATCGAGGTCCTGACCTCCACGACCTTATTCCCGAGCTCGAAACCCAGCACGACGTAGAAGGCGGAGTAGTGAACCTTGCCCGTCCCGAAGCGGTACGCCTCGCACTCTTTATGGAGGAGAGGCTTGTGGCCGAGCTTCGCGCATCGGTGTACTTCTGCAGCCACTGCGTGCCAGCCACAGTCCTTGCGCACGCGGTATCCGTGATCCCCAGCAGGAACTCCCCTTCATGCTTGGTGGCATAGACCTCGGCAGGGAGCACGTTGCACATGCTGATGTCCTTGACGTCGGTCTTGGGCGCCGCTTGGTGATTGGTACCTGGCTTATTCTTTGGGCATTCAGCATCCTTATGCCAATGTCCCCGGCGACCGCATCCACTGCACAAACTCCTCGCCTTCATAGCTTTGAGCTTCTCATCCTTGTTGTCGGAGTGGTTGCCGGCATTGCCGTCGCCAGCCACATAACCACGTGCCCTCTGTTGGTCCTTGTACCTCTGCTTCGCCGACTGGTAAGTGACGTAGGCCTTTGCGACGTCCTCGGGGATGCAGTCCTGTATGACTGCTGCCTTCTGCAGCCTATGTAAGGAGTAGGCGTTACCGACACTGGCTAGGAGGTTGAGCTCGGCACTTTCTTCAAGTTGAAGACGGTCAACGTAGAGCCAAGCTGCGCAATCTTCAGGTAGAGCACATCCAACTTCGCGAAGTCGAGCATGAAGTCGGTCGTACTCGGCGTTGTACTCGCGGATGGACTGCCCCGGTCGGCGTCGAAGGCGCCGAAAGAACTCGGAGAACGCCTTCCCGATCCTGGTGATCTCAAGGTCGAGGTAGCGGCCACTGATCCATTTAACCAGGTACTGAACGCCGGTGTCCGCAGAGAGCTTATCGACGTTCAACTCCTCTGCCGCCACCCATGCCTTTCCAGCAAGATTCTGGTAGAGCACCAAGCCTTGCTGCGCCGCCGGTAGGCGGGTCATCCGCCGCCAAGCTTCGATCTGCCGAAGATAGGATCTTGCCGACGTTCCAACATCGTCGCCATCGTCCTCTCCGTTGAAGGTCGGGACGGTGAGCCTTTCAGTGGGTCGGCTCCCACCTCCTGCGCCCGCCTGCGAGCGCTCTGCTTCACGATCACTTCCACCAGCATAGTCGAAGTGCTGCCATCCTTCCCATACAGCGTCTCGAGCTTGGGCTTCAGAGTGTAGCCTTCCCACGTCGCGCTGGGGCATCTGCTTGCTCGCAGGTGCTTGTCTGCGCTTCGCCTCCATCCAAGGGTCGTGAGGCTCTTCCTCGGCCGAGGTGGTCGAGACATCCTCGCCACCATCTCCACCTGCTCCGCGTTGGCCCGCAGAATCGCGCCGCCGTGAAGCCCCGTCTCGTCCATCTGCCTCGGGAACTTTTCGATCTCCCGGTGGATCATATGGGTCGGGACGACGTTCTGGTCGTGGTCGACGAGGTCGATCGCCATCGCCGCGGCCATCGTCCTGTTCTCGCCAAGTCCACCTCCATTGCCTCCAGGACCCATCCGAGTGACTCGCCCACTGACCACCCCACTCGCTATCTCCCCAGGAGTCGTGGTCACCCCAGGACTGAGTGCGCCAGGTCCCTTCCTGGTCCTGCCGCCCTCTCCCTGCGTCACTGCTAGGGCCGCTGCTTGCAAAAGACCCACTAAGTCGGGTCGTAGGGATGTCGGCCGGAGGCTCCGGATGAACATCATGTTGTGCACTACGAGGGTCACTACCGCCACTGCTGTGATCATCACCAGGAACTTCACCATGAAGCCCATACTTACGCACGTCGTTGGATGACATTGCGCTAGCGGAACTACGGCACTACGCCTACTGGAGCATACGGCTCCGCTACCAATTCAATCCTAAACTAGAAGAAAGGGAGGGA